AGGCTGAAGTGAGAAAGAATCTGGCAGCTAGCTGCTTTAATTTTTTTTTATTATATTGAAGTAGAGGCACCAGTTAGCATGCATTTCACAGGCCCTGTATGTTGACAGGACCTGGACAGAAGTGGTGAGCAAAACTTCATGGTAGATTAAGTCACTTGAAGAGGTTAGGGAGCAGCAAGCCATGGGCAGAGTTCTTGAGTGGGGCCGACAATTACTGCAAGAGAAAAAGTAAAGCAAGCAGCAAGGGTACAAATGCAAAGCCACAGGTTGTAAGATAATGTAATCCAATGCCAGGCTGCTTTAAAAGACAGTGCTTTTTCTAAATATTTAATATTTTATGTGGGGGGGGGGGGGAGTTTTGCCTGTATAGGTCTTCACATCACATGCATTCAGTACCCTCAGAGGCCAGAAGTGGGTGTCAGATCCTCTGGGACTGGAGTTACAGGTGGTTGTGTGCTAAAAACCAGCACTGTTAACCTCTGAGTCTCTCTGCAGTCACAACTGCAAAACATTCTTTCCTCTTTCTCCGCCTTTTGTTTGAGGGTTCTGTTTTGTTTTTAAAGTTTTAAGGCCTCACTGTTTTGCTAAGGTTGGCTTCAACTGACCACCAGAGTTGCTTGGCCTACAAAGATGTCTTTTTCTTCTTTTGCCTTTCATTTCTTTCCTTTTTCTTCTCCTCGTGATTTTTCAGTAATACAAAACTGGAATTGAATGTTCAGCTCTTCAGAAGTAGTTTCATCAATTTATTGACGTTTTGTAGTAACTTAAAATCTCAGCAAAAGTGTTCACCTGTCCTCCCAGAGGAGTGTTTTCCCTTTGGTTTTAAACATAGAGTCCTCATACACAACCCTGATGTCCTGACTAACGGAAACCTAATGCCACACTTTCCCTTTCGTTCCCATTTTTTATTTTAAAGTTAAATGACACCCAGTGGCTAGTAAGTACAAGTTTTATTTAGATTTTATTTATACTAAAATATACAGTTTTGTGGCTTAAGACAAAATGTGACTGGAACTGTAACCTCACTTTTTTTTTTTTTTTTTTTTTTTTTTTTTTTGGTTTTACGAGACAGGGTTTCTCTGTATTGTTTTGGAGGCTGTCGGTCCAGCCTGGCCTCAAACTCACAGAGATCCGCCTGCCTCTGCCTCCCGAGTGCTGGGATTAAAGGAATGAGCCACCACCGCCCTATAACCTCACTCTTAAGATGAACTAATAGTGTTCACACTGGTTTTCCTTTATTGTGGGAATTATTTATTCAGAGCTACTTTTGTCTGTACTTCCTTGAGAAAATAATTCTTTCATCACTTACCAAAGGGGCTTAGATAGTGGCTTTTGTTCCACTTATTCTGAACAATAAGGATTTTAATTGCCTTTCTTACTGATTTATGTTCTGTAATATGTATTGTCTTACTTCGCTTGTTTGAGTTCTTTTCATTTTATTTATTTGCCTTAGTCTGCTTGTTACTGTAACTGAATACCTGGGACTGGGGAATATAGAGAGAATAATCTAATTCTTATACATCTGGAGCCTATGAAGTCTCAGGTTAACATAGCCTTGCTGGTGGAGACTCTAGTTTTGAAACAATAAGCATGTGGCAGGGAGTTCACTTTTAAAATGAAGCCATTCCCCACTGATAATCTAACTGCCTCCCAAGTTCCTACTCTTTAGAACCCCAATGTGTTGATATATTGCATATGGCTTGTTAAAGTCACAGCAAAGCAGCCAAACCAGGTAGCCATAGAAAGCAGGCACACACCTTTAGTCCCAGAACTCAGGATTAAGAAGTAGACGGATCTGTTAGTTCAAGGCCACACTGACTATATCAAATTGACCCAGTCCTAAAGAGAAACAGCTCACACAAAGGTGATCTCAACACTTGGGATCACACAGCTTTAATCCCAGCACTAGGGAGATAAGAGACAGGAGACTATGGCTGGGCAGAGAAAGGGATATAAAGAGGAGGAGACAAGAATTAAGAGCTTTTGCCTCTTGAGGATTCATGAAGACAGGATTGCCATTTCAACTGGGTAGAGGTAAGATCTACTGGCTTGGCTGCTTTGCTTCTCTGAGCTTCAGCTTCAAACTTAAACCCCAATATCTGTCTCTAGGTCTTTTATCTTTTGTGTTGCACCCTAACATATGATTTAAGAGGTTAGGGTTCCAACATGTGAATTCTAGGCATTGTTTAAAGCATAATGTCAGTTAAGTCCATCAGCTGGTCATATTTCTGATACCCTTCACATCTCTATTTGTTCAAGAGTAAAGCATGTCTTTTTCTCTTCCTAAAATATGCAACAGAACACTTTTGTTTCATAGTTTATGTGATTGTTTTTATTGTGTAGAATTGGGTATAATTTAGAGTCAAATCTTTATACCAATGCATTTTACATTTATAGTTAGGTATACAATGTTTCATAGCACTGACTCTCCAACAAGCCTATGAGGTAGGACTGGGGTTTTAATTTAACAGGTAAAGAAAATGAGGCCACAAACCTAGAAAAAAAATTAAAGCTATGTATGATAGGAACTACATACCTGTATCCCAGGTCAGTCTGTATCTGTAGATTTTTGTGTTTGTTTTTATTGAATTTGCCAGGCTCACAGAGGCAGAAAGGGTATTAGATCCCCTGGAACTAATGTTAAAGGAGGTTGTGAGCTACAGTGTAGGTGCTGGAAATTGAACCCAGGTCCTCTGGAAGAGCAGCCAGTGCTCTAAACTACTGAGCCATCTCCAGCCCATCAAATACTTACTGAGTCTCTTCTGTCACATTACTTGTGGATTGTTTATGATCTTACAAATATTTGGAGTATTTGTTTTTTTTATTTTCATTAGCATCTCATTGTTCATTTTAAAGTTAATAAATACCCTTAGTTGCATGTCAACTAAGTTGATATAGAGCTTTAAAAGAAAATCACATCAGCATCTTTACTCATGTTCCTTACTGTTAAATTTCCCCATATTTTTTCATTTTCTTTTAAAATATATACTTCTGGTAGATGACACCAGCATTGTGGTATCTTATTCTTAGTCCCAGTTTTCTGCTTATTTCCCAGGAAAATTATGTTTAAGTCACTATATGCAATCCAGCAATTAGTTTAAGTGGGTGTTCATATTAATGTATTCTCAAAGCTTTATAAATTGTAATCTCCAAATATATCATTTATAGATATATATCATTTAGCTAAGGCTTCGTACCAGTACAGGATATGTTGACAATACAAAGAATGGTCAGTCTCTTGGGAAAGCGTCAGTGGTGTGCAGTCATCTACCCCAGCTTTAGTAATCCAAGTCAAGATTATTAGCTTGTACTTGAAAGCATCCTTTACAGATTGTCATTTAGTTGCTGCTCTATGCTGTTATTTAGGTTAATATAGAAATGTCACCTTTTCTACTGTCTTAACTTTTGGCAGAAAACTAGGTTGTTTTAAAATTTCTTCATTTTGCAATGCTAGAAATCAGTCTCAGGGCCTCACACATGGAAAATCAGAATCTGATTCTTGATTAATGCTCAGATACTGACTGGTAGCCACATAAACCTTTACCATATAGAATTTTTATAAAGTAAATAAATCATGCATTGTCTCTCCTTATTGCTGTCATCTGTCCACCCATTAGCTGTCACCAGAATAGCACTCTGTCCAGGTTAAAGATTTTACAAGTAAGAATGAGTTAGCAGAGTTGAAGGGCTCTGTTGACGATGCAGAAATGAAAAACCCTGCTGTTTCACACAGTTGTAAATGTTTCTTGTCCAGGTTGGTGACCAGATTGTGGAAATCAATGGGGAACCTACACAAGGCATCACACATACTCGAGCAATTGAGCTCATTCAGGCAGGTGGAAATAAAGTCCTCCTCCTGTTGAGGCCAGGAACTGGCTTGATACCTGACCATGGTAAGCAAAGTAGCTAAGCACTCATGCTGGGGAGGGGACGGCAAAAGGAAAGGGAAAATACCCCTTTGGAAGGGTTGAACATTTTATTGGCTAATTTGGAAGTGAACACCAGAACCACCATAGAAAGTTACTAGAATGCAAATGATTTTTCCAAATAGTATAACTGTTACAGTAGAACATGTGTTATCTTTATTTCATCTGAAAGCACATAGTGCTTTTTGTATAGAAATGTGCCTGTAAAAAATGAGAATATTAGAGACAAACAAATATCTTTAGAATATCCCAGCTTTTTCCCTCCTTTGCTAATTACACATTTCCAATAAACATTATTTTCTTAAAGTAAGATAAGTTTGTCTCTCTTAATGAGTGAATGCCAGAACTTTAGGATTTTCTAGTCACTTATCAAAATAAGTTGCTATAGCCCCACTACAGGTAAATCTAAGATCATGTCTGTACTCCTGCACTGATGGTAAATGCCCTTGGCTTTATTATATATTTTGAACTGTCACAGTGTTTTAAAAATCACTTTGGGAATGCATGATCCTAGAACTAAAGGCAGTACCACACCTGTTTTATGTGTCTCCCCTGCACAGCTCCCCATCAGAGCTTTTGTAGGGTAAATGTAGACATAACCTCCTATGGTCCCTTCCAGCTGTAATTCTCTGGCTGTGTTACCTTTCACCATCTGCTCATACAGCACACATTCCCATGACATCTGTGCTAACTGTGCTGGTTTGTTTTCACATAGTCCTAGGCTTTTTCTCTTCCTTCTTCAGGTTTGGCTCCTTCCGGTCTGTGCTCCTACGTGAAGCCTGAGCAACATTAAGGCTTTCAGGGCTTTTCTTGGTCTTTCCTTAAAAAGACTTGGTAAATTTTGCATGTCTTTTAAATCACTTCTTTCATTTTCTGTTTAATTAAAATGATGCTATTAAGTACATCTACTTCTGTCTTCTGCACTTTTTCAGTCTCCTTTTGACATTAAATTTGACAGCCAAAGAAAATTATTTACAGTGCCCATAACCCTCATTTGGGTTACCACAGTCTGGTCTTTTTTCACTAGTGATTTTGGCATATCCTTAAGTTAAACAGTAATAACAGCGCAATTAGTAAGTTTCTTGGACCAAGTACTTTGGTCCAATTTTATTATTTGTATCTTACTTGGTTTTATGAATAATTTACAGATCATATATCACCTCTTACAGTGCATAAGTAAAACAATTATTATAACAATCTACCCTTCATACATGAGCAGATATCTATAAGCATCTGCCTTTACAGACAGACATAAATAAGAATAAGTTACGTAACATATTCCTCCTTGGGCTATGCAACCAGTAACATATTCAAATGGCTGTCAAAGTTCAAAACTCAACTGTTCCTATTGATAATCCTTGAATGTAACTGTATTCTACTCAATCACTTTTTAGGTGATTGGGATATTACTAGTCCTTCATCTTCCAATGTCATTTATGATGAACAGCCACCACTTCTCCCATCTTCACATTCTGCTTCCACATTTGAAGAGTCTCACGTGCCAGTAACCGAAGACTCTCTGATTAGAGTTCAGATATGTGAAAAGGCAGAAGAACTAAAGGACACTGTACCAGAAAAGAAAAGCACTTTTAATGGAAGTCAGCCTGAAATGAGGCATCAGACTGTTCTCCAGAAAAATGTGATTAAGAAGGATCCACCCAGTGGTCAAAGGCATGGTGAGAAGACTCTACTAAAAGGAGAAAATGGTGTCACACGAAGAGATGGATCTGCTAGTCCCAAAAAGTCAGCTAATCGACATTCAGAGGAACATTTGGAAAAGATTCCCAGGCCCCTAAAAAGTGACCACAAAGGAAAATCTAGAGATCGGTCACTCAGCCCTAGGAAAGGAGAGACTAAAGGTCAGATCACCGCTAAGGCAGGCTCTGGACAAGAGCCCTGCAGAAAAGGCAGAGGACGCTCTTCTAGTCCCAAGAAGCAGCAAAAGATTGCAGACACTGGCCCGTCAAACACTGAAAGCAAATTATCAGAGGTTGGGAGCCAAAGAGCAGCAGGCTATACTAGTGACAGTACTGAACAGCTCCCAGATGGGAAAGAAAAGTCGGGTGTCATCAGGAAAGATCTGAAGCAGAATCAACTTGGAAAAAACAGAACAAGGTCTCCAGAGAAAAAGAGCAATAAAGTTGATGAAACATCTCTTCCATCCAGAAAGACTAGCAACCCTGCTAGTAGGGCGTTGTCTGAAAAGGAGAAAGGAAAGAAGCCAACCACAGTAGAAAATGTCCAGATCTCAGCAAAGAAGCTCAAGCAGGAACCTGAAGAGAAGATGACATTAGGTAAAGCAGAAGATCACAAAGGGAAAGAGCCAGAGGCCACTGACAAATGCAAGGAGCATGCAGGGGGCATACCTGAAAACAGCTCTCCAGTCAAAAGAGCTCCCATCACTCCAGGGCCCTGGAGGGTGCCACGTGCAAATAAAATCACAGGCAATGCTGGCATGACTGACAAACAGCTGTGACCTTTTGTATAATACAAAGAAAATTAAGTTGTAATCTTTTACTAAAACAGCATTCTTTTAAGGGGAAAGGTATGTTTTTTTTCCCCCAGAAAGTCTTCAATACCTAATTGAAGCATCAAGTTAGACAGGCTGCATGAAAGGCTTCTGGGATTGCTAAGACCCACCTGGCCCTGGCTGACTGCCCTTCCTCACATTCAGGAAGGAGTTGCAGCCACAAGCTCATCTGCCATGTCCTGCTCAGGCTGCCCGCTCAGCAATGACATGATCTTAGCAGTGTGGTCACAACTCACTTTGTATTCGTGCCAAGTTATCTACTGTATCATGTCTGTTTTATCATTCTCATTCTGATAGTTCCAGTCATGAAACAGTTCGGTTTAGCTTGAAGATGTTTTTAATAGCATGTTGCATGTTTACAGAGAGAAATATTTTGAGTCCTTGCAGAGAAAGAAATTGTCAGCTCATCATTAAAGTTGGCACTTGCCGATTTTCATAGCTTCTGACCATCCTAGTTTAAAAATGCAAGTCAGAAACATTACTACATTACAGGAAAAGTCAAATATTAAAGATGCTTTTCTATGGCTAAGTAAGGTGTTTCAAGTAATAGTCCTTACAATTAAATGCTTAAAATGAGAAGTAGTAACCAGCAGAGTGAACAATCTCCTGCCAGGTTAGCCAACCATAATGTAGCTACAGTGTCTCAAATCACCTGTCCTAGGAAGAAGAGTGCAGGATCATGTGAAAATACATTGTTTCTCTTCAAAGAAAAACTACTATCTGGATATCTGGATTATTAATCATTAGTCTTTATTGCATAATTGATATTTTTGTGAGGGACTTAATCATGCTGTCAGCTCTACAATCCACTGTCAGACAAAGCACCAGCTCCTGTGGCATAGAGAAAGAAGTTCATCTGGGGGCAGACGCACGAGTTTTAGGGATTTAGAAGCAGTGATTGCATTGGGCTTCCCCAGCAAGTCAGAACTAATATGGTACAGACTGCGTGTGTTGGAACTTTAATTTTTAGCTATTTAAAAACAGGAAAAGATTTCAGAGTTCTTTTGGAGACAAGTTTTAACCTCATACAATAGATTGGGATGTTAGTTTGGTTCCCTGAAACAGCTTTCAGAAGCATCTATAAACACATATACAATTCTCAGACCAAAAGCGTCTACTTAGGGAGTATCTGAACCCTCATTCTGTTACCCATGAGTCTGACAAATTCCACTGTGACCAACTCTACTGGCCCTTGTAGGTAACACATGCTTCCAACCCAGAACTATATTTAACCCATCTGTTACAACTACTTGAATAGAGCAAAATTAGGAGGCTTGATAAATGCTAGGAATTTAGTACCACAGAAATGATTTATTTTCCCTATAGTCCACAATTAGTGATACAAATCCTGTTTTTTATTGTTAACTGTGACATAACTTTGATGTCATATGTTGTCAGTCTGATGTGGCTCTTAAGTAACCTGTCACTGTACTGATTATATACAGTCTGTAAACATGACTTAGCCACGTGGCCTTGGATGCTGAGCAAAATATGGATGTCCTGGTTGTAAATGTTTATATATGTACAGTACCTTTATATATATATACATATATATATATATATACACTTGAGGTTCTGATTAGAGAAATATCTGTAAATCGCTCGTTATTTTTTATATAGATATTAAAAAAGAAGAAAAAAGTTTATGTCCTGCTTTTTTTTTAACTGTCAGCATCATTCTGTTTGTGGAGCTTAGTTCTCATCACAATCTGAGTTATCAAAGTCTTAAAATTGGGAAGACATAGGAATGTGCCTTTGCCTGTACTTAATTTCATACATGGATGAAAGCCATGAGTTGTATACCATCATGCCTATTTTTATATTTCATTGCAAAGACATAGTTTTGCATTGATAATTTACTGTTAATGCTATTTTTTAATGTCCCTTGTTTCCACTTCTAGAAAAGAGATTTCATTTCACTGGAATTTAGTTACTACACATTTATAGTGGACTAACAGTATAGACTATCTACCACAAGTTCACAACTTCCATGGCAATATACATTATTTAAAACCATCTCATTTATTTTAAAATTACTTTTAGAATTAAGTGTCTTCACTTCATAATATGTGTGTGTGTATTTGTATTCATACATATACATATACACACAGACTGCTTAAATCCTACTTCAAAACTGGTTATTTTAATATTATTCAGGAGAAAAATTCCTATAATTTGCATGACCTCACACTAAAAATAAAGTCCAGTTAATTTCCGGGCCCACAGTAGAAATAATGGAAATGTGTCAGAGTAAAAGCTGCTGAAAGTAGGAGTTACACCATTCGGCAAACACACACACTTACTGTTGTTACCAGGCAGGACTGCTGCAGTCAGTCCTACAGCATTGTCTGCTGACAGCTACAGCTTCTTTACAGCTTAACAGCTCTGAGCAGTCTCAACTCCTAGATCAAGAGTCTTGGACCCAGTCGGGCATTGGTGGCGCACGCCTTTAATCCCAGCACTCGGGAGGCAGAGGCAGGCGGATCTCTGTGAGTTTGAGACCAGTCTGGACTACCAATCGAGTTCCAGGACAGCCTCCAAAGCCACAGAGAAACCCTGTCTCGAAAAAAAAAAAAAAAAAAAGTCTTGGACCCACCAAGCATTTATGTTACTTTTTACATGTGAATGTCTTTATTTAATTAAAGGAAACTGGGTCAGCAAGATGGCTTTGCAGGTAAGAGCACTTGCCACCAACCCTTCCATTGCCAAGACTCAGTCCTACCATATCAAGCTGCCCTTCATGCACTCTGTGCGTTCACACAAATTTCTAAAAAGTCAGGATATTGTTGTTATGCAGAAATACAAAGCCAAATGCTTTGTAGTCATCTGAACAAATGAAGTTCCACATTTTATATCTCCATTTCTCACCAAAGTATTGGAGATACACAAAGAACTTGTGTAGGGCTCTGCCTAGTGACCTCCACAAAGATGCAGACTGGAGCTTAGCCTACCTTATGACCTTAGAACCACAGAGTGTCTGCATAGACTGACTGAAATACAGCAGTCCACTGTGGAGTGGGAGTGCATCAGAGCAACTGTTTATTTCTTGGCATACCTCACACCTAAAAGCTACCAATTTTATTAACAGCACCAGAAACACTTATTTGGGAAGTCTATCATCTTTAGTTAGCTGAATTCATCTGACATACCTACAGACTTGACAGGCTGTCAGTCACTCTAGTGGACTGATATAGAAGCTGAACCTGTTCAAAGCTGCTTGGTGTCTATGCACACAAGCAGCATTAAATATGAGGGAGTATATGAATGCTTAGGAAGAATTTTACCTAGTAGAAAAAATCTAAATCTCCCACTCTAAAATATGGACACAGCCAAATGCTTTAATTTAGCCTTAAACTCTCTGCTTTCACAGTCCTGTAGATAAATGCCCATTTTATACTATGTATGTTAAAGTCAAAAAGGAAAAAAAAAAAACAAATTCACAAACCAAGAAACTTACTTTGTCCTTAGAACAACCACTAGTTAGCCTGAGTACCACCTTATTGGAGCTGTGTGTGAAAGGTTACCACTGCAAGTCTGTGTTCAAACTTCATCGCTCAGAATAGGCACCAGTGACTGCAAGAAACAGAAGATTACATAAATTACTAGACTAGTCCCTGTATGTATTGATGAATTCCCAAATCACTATGTTTGAGAATAAGACCCATCTGGCCTATTAAGAATATGTAGATCTAAAATTTTTCAAAACTTTCAGTTTGGTTAATTTAAGGTTGATTCACCTTGCATGGTTTGTTCACCAGCGGGAAAAAAAGCTTGAACCCATAAACTGACACATTTGTGACATCTTGTTATTTAGAATTTCTCTTGCTAAAAAGTGAAGAAAACCATATTCCAGTTAGGCAAGCATATGGTTATTTAGCTTTTCAGAGTTTATAGTTGTGACCATAACTAAACATGTCTAGGAGGTTTATAGAGTATACATCCATAGCAGTTTTAGGAAAGGTGATTTTTTTTCCCAATAAAACAGATTTAAAACACAAATCAATAGGTAAATTTCTTATTCTTTGGTAGTTACTGCTACAATTATATGAGTGATTTAATTCTATTTTTACATCTTGGTTTTATTTCTTGGTAATAATGTAATATTACCAAAATCTTAGCCCTTTGGGGGAATCAAAGTATAAGTCACTAGATATTACACGGAGATTGATGAAACAGATTGCTGCACGGGAGTGAGAAACAGGAGGACTATTCTTCCTCCAGTGCATGTTTCCTAAGCATCTGTTAGGGAATCCAGTACTGCTCTGTTTTTAGGGAGCTCACGGTCTAATGGGAAGGAAACACAAGTAGACAAAAGATTCTGAAACATGAAGGAAGTCAGTGAGTGATAAAACTGATAATTAACTAGAATCATGAGAGAGAGCCCTAACTGAAAGCTGAGAGCTAAAAATATGTATTCCAAGGCAGAAGAAACACTTGGATATGCCTAGGAAAGGAAACTTGGGAAAGGAGATGGTGTGGAGGGACGAGAAGGAAGGTAAGGTAGAGGAGGTACAACTGGGAAGGGATGCAGCACTGCCACAGGAGGGCTTTGGAGGGGACCACGGGAAACTCCTACAAGTTTCATATGGATGGCATGAGAATCTCCATATTTTAAGTTCATTCATGCAGCTATGGAAAATCAACTCTTCAGCTATAACGGAAACCCAACAGCAGAACAGCCCGGGTAAGCCTAAAGGAGGCTTAGCTAGTAGCAGTGAAAACCATGTATTAGTTAACTTTTCTAAAACTTCAGTAAAACAGACACCAAGGCAACCTACAAAGGAAGTTTGTTTGGACTTACAGCTCCAGAGAGTTAAAGAGTCCATGATGGTGGTGCAGAGGCAGCAGGCAGGCTAACTGGAGCAAAAGCTGAGAGCTCACATCTTGAATCACAAGCAGATAGTATAAAATAAAAATGTTGAGAGTCTCCATTCTCAAAGCTGGTCTCCAGTGACATACTTCCTCTACGTAGGCCACACCTCCTCTGCCTCTCCAAACAGCACCACCAATTGAGGAGGAATATTCAAATACCCAAGACTAAGCTTGACATCTCATTCAAACCACAAGGCAGAATTAGATTCAGACATTGAGCCTTTACCTGAGCAACTGAATCAGCTCTGTACATTTACTAAGGTAAGGAAAATATGTCTCTCCTTAAAACTAAAAATAATGGAAAAAGTTTAATAGCAGATGTTAGGTTTTGGACAAGGGCAGCACAGGCCAACAGTTAAACAAGGAGAGCCCCCAAGACTGCCTATGAGTAGCCTCTGGGTTGCAATGTAGAAAGGAAAGCCAAACAAAGCAATTTTGCTATGAGGAAAGGTAAGCCCCTGAAGGAACTAGCACCAGAGAGAATGCATTTGCTCAGAGAGGAGAGCTCCAGAGACATGCAGAAGGGTACTAGGTAGCCCAGTAGTAGCTGAATAATGGTAGCACAAGCACATGAAAGCCCAACCACAATGAACCTCCTAAAGAAGCAAGTAGAAAAAATGCTGAAGTCCACACAGGGCTGGAACCATACTACCAATGAAGGAAAACCTCTTTTCTCACAGATGACCAAGTGCAGTGCATAAAAAAATGCTGCTTTAGCACATCTACCAAGCTTAAAAGCAATCCTTGCAATGCTTTTTCAAAGAAACTGCATTTCAAAATAAAGCTCAAGATTACAAAAAAGAATACATGTATACCACAACACCCCACTCCCAACACTACACATTCAGAGTCAATAAAAAATCACCAGGCATGTAAAACAGGAACATGTGTCAAATGAAGAAACAACACAGTAAATACTTAAAGAGGAGACACAGAAAGCTTGTTTGTTTGCAGACAAAACAGCGCATGCTTGTGATGCTGACAGATGGAGGGGGATCAGGGGCTGGAGGTCAGCCTTGATTACATAGTGTAACTGGTCTTAAAAATTAACAAACCACACAAATAATATGAAAACAACTATACCAACACAAATAATTCAATTGCACAAATTCAGTGGTAAAACTAAAATCTTAAAAGCAGCCAAAATTAAACAGATTCATTATCGGAGAGGAACAAAAATTAAAGACTTGTGGTCAGAAACAATGCAATCCAAAAAGCAATGGGATAGATTTTTTTTTTGTTGAGACAAAGACTTACTATGTGACCCTGGCTGACCAGGGCCCTTACTATGTAGACCAGGCTGACAGACGTTAAATGCAGAGATCCACCTGCCTCTGCTTCCTGAGGACTTGAATTAAAAGTGTGTGCCATCACCCTAGCATGCAACTACTTTTTAAAACCTAAAATCTTATATTCAGTCTTTTATATGTAATAAAGACTTAGAAATATTTCAGAGGAATGGGCCTAAATACCTTATTTAAAAAGATTGTGAATTATCTTCACAATGACAGTAAACTATAGCTTTTGTTTTGCTTTGGTTTGGTTTGAGATGGGGTTTCACTGTGTAGCCTTGACTGTCCTGAAACTAACTCTATAGATCAGGTTGGCCCCTAACTCACAGAGATCCATCCACCTGCCTCTGTCTCCTGAGTGCATAAGCCGCCACCACCAGTAAACTATGAATGGATTCCAAATGAGGCATATTTTGCAAAAGATCTACCACCCTAAAAAAAAAAACAGCAACATTGGATTAGACTAGGGGGAGAGGAAGTCGTAAGTAAAAATGGAAGCGGAAAGACATTATTTAAAACCCAATGTCAAATTAGAGTGAGTGACAATGGGAAGACAAGCATGAAGTGATTAGAAGATAATTGAAGCACAGATTCTAATTGCTCTTAATAATAAAAACCCAGAGACAGACAGATCAGAGAAGCAAAGCAGTCAGCCACTGGAGAATTCTCACCTCTACCAATGCTCAGACCAAAGGGCGATCCTGTCCTCAAATTGCATCTCCAGACTGCATCTGTCTCCACCAAACTTCCAACTGCACTGGGCTCCTGTCTCCTCCTGCCTTATATTCCTCTCTAGTGGTGGGATTAAAGGCAAGGGATCCCAAGTGTTGAGATCACCTTTGTGAGCTGTTTCTCTTTTAGACTGGATCAATTTCGTGTAGCTCAGGGTGGCCTTGAATTAACAGCAATCGGTCTGTCTCTGTCTCCCAAGTGCTGAAATTAAAGGTGTATACCACCACTGCCTGGCCTCTATGGCTAACTAATGTGGCTAGCTTTGCACTCTGATCTTCAGGCAATCTTTATTTGTTAGATCATAAACAAAATAGCACCACAGATAATTATTCAGACTTGGCGACTGGATAAAGGCAGGCAAATAAGCAACAAATACACTGATAAATAGTAGTTGCCTTTGTATAGAAGTTTACCAGCCTGAAATACAAGCCTCTTACACACTACAAAAATCATAGTTCAAGCCAATCCTCAAGGTAAAGTACTCTAATTCTCTCTAAAGGTACAAAATAAAAACAGCACCAGCTTTTTTACAGACAAAATACTGCAAAACTTAATCTTAAATTTGAGACAATTGTTCATTATGAAAAATGGTCAGTCACTTTCTGTGAGTCTGTTGAGGTCTGAGGTGTCTATAGATCAGCTTCTAGAATCACAGCTCCTAGGGCAGGAAAGGTAGCTCAGTAGTTAAGAGCACTTTCTGTACAATAATGAAGACCAGAGTTCACATCCCAGGACCCAAGTTACAAGTCAGCCCTGAGGGAGTGGTGACAGGAGGATCTATTTGGCTCTGCCTAGCTCCAGCCTTGCTGAGGAACATAAACCAGGCCCAGAAGACCCTGCTTCAAAGGAAGGACACTGAACTTGTTTTACTGACCTCCACACATGCATGCATACAGAAGCATGTGAGCATACACTCTGACACATACACATGTACACACACATCAATGAATTTTTGTAAAACAAAATGTATAGCTATCTCTCAGCACTTGGGATGAGTATTCTTGCTGAACAGTATATTACCTATATTTGTCTCTTCACAGCTTATAACTCTATCAGATTTTAAAAGGTGTAGATAGTGATATTTACAGTGCAATTAACAGCTAAGTATTTTGCATGGTGCTAAGGAAGTTATATAATCTCATCAAACCGGAACAAAATCATTAGGTAGTTATCCTAGTTAGCAGGGACAAGGATGCAAACAGAGAAGATCTGAACAATCAGTGGACTATTGGGAAGCTCATTTTTGAGTTCATCAATTTCCCTGCGGACAGAATGTGTAACCAGGGCTGGAGGGATGGATCAAAGGTTAAGGGTATATGCAGAGGACCTGAGTTCGCTCTCTAGCACCCACAGGGCAGCTCACAACTATCTGTAACTTAGTCCCAGGATCTGCTGCCCTCTTCTGGCCTCATGCACCATACATGCATACCGTATACAAATATGCACACATGCAAAACATCTCGACACAAAAAGAGATAAAAAATGTGTAATCAGCCAGGTGTTGGTGGTACACACCTTTAATCCCAGCACTCAGGAGGCAGAGGCAGGCGTATCTCTGTGAGTTTGAAGCCAGCCTGATCTGCAGAGCGACAGAGTCTCCAAAGCAATGCAGAGAAACCCTGTTTCGAAAAAAAAGAAAAGAAAAAAGAAAAAGAAAAATCTGCAGCCAATCCTATGAGTTATATACAGGAGATTATCAAGTTCTACAAAATCTTACCATTAAGGTGTTTACACTTCCAGTCTTCCTCAAGAAATTCTTCAAAGCAGAGAGACCTTCATGAGCAAGAATGCTGGGGTTTCCACTAAGAGACACTTGCCTAATGAGATGCTTGTAAGAAAACCAAGGCACGGTGTGGCGATTATTAGACACTGAGGACCTGAAATTGTACTAAAGGCTGGATACATGACATTGCCAAGTAGGCAAACCATTAGAGAAACCATGCTATTCAATGGGCAAGGCTGGATTACCCATAAGTATGCATGACCCACCAACAACTACAGTTACAAGCTTAGCTTGAATCATAAATTAAAATTTTCTCTACAAACAGAAATTCTGTTTAAAAGGTTATTGTATTTTTCTACCATCCCTGCAAAAAGAAAAAATGAAAAAAAGCCTAGAAACTGAAATTCTCCAATAAATTTCTTTTATTTAGATTCAACCTAAAATAGTTTCTCTCTGATAGAGAAATCCCCACTCCACAGAGTATGATAGAAAAGCACTGAATTTGCATATTCCCAATAAAAGGTCATTGTTTCATGCTTTGGGCACCTACCATGGTTACCCAGAAGACTATTCCCAGTAAATATAACTAGCACAATATGGAGGGTCCAGGATACATGCCCTGACTCAGAAGGTCCACGTCACCATCAGGCAGGCTTTAATTTGCTGATTATTCACGCTTCTTGAGAACCATGGAAGTGCAGGCTGTTAGCACGCATGCCCAGGGAAAGGATGGGCCCTTCTAGAAACTCCACGCCTTAGGCTGACTGAGCAGAGAGGCTTTTGAGCTGGTAGGTAGAGTCACTGGTTTCAGTGAGCCATCTTTGTCCAGTGGGCGAGCAGTGACACCAGCCAGAAAAGAGTCCAGGCACACAACTCAGCTTAGGACTTAATTTTCCACAGCTGAGAAAAGAAAATCACCCAAAAGAAAGAAAAAACAAAAACACTCAGTTAGCTGTAAGGCAAATAGGTGGGATTTAGATGTATATTCTTATGACTATGAACTAAGGACCATTTACTGTTTTATTAAAAATTTATTATAAAAGAACTTGCAAATAAAAAATACCACACAGCAAGATTAGCAGATGCAAAGCAGCCATATGTCAGTGAACAGACTGAGCTGCCATCCCCAGCTATGGTACATCTTAAAGATTTTAAAGATTAGTTCTTATTTTATGTAGGTGTTTTGCCTGCATGTATGTGTACCACATGCATGTCTGACCAATGTCAGAAGAGGCATCAGATCCCTTGGAACTGAAGTTATAGATGGGTATGAGCCATCGTGTGGGTATCAAAAACAGAACCCAGGTCCTCTGTAAAAGCAACAAGTGCTCTTACCTGCTAAACCATCTCTCAGCCCCTTCAACTGTAGATTTCTGCATTTCTGCACTGGACATACACACAAAAAGCTCCATCACAAAGCTAACACTAGTAAACCATTATCCCTTTGTCCTTTCATATCCTTTTCATCCATCACCTAACCCTGACCTCTTTTCCTTTCTACATGTTACACTGTATCACAGCACATCTGTTCATACATGTCCATGTATATATTTTAGGCTAGGATCCACATGAGAAAGAACATGAAGGGTTTTTTATTTGAGATTGTGTGACCTCACTTAATATTATACATTCTATGTCCATCCATTTGCCTGCAAGTTTTGTGATTTCATTTTTTTAGAGCTGAATAGTATGTCGCTATATATGTGTACCAGATTTTCATTATCCATTCATCTGTTGATGGATAAGTAGTTGGTTCCACTTCTTTGCTACAGTGAATAAAAGCAGCAATGAACATGGGGTGCAACTATCTCTGTGGCAGTGAATGGAGTTCTCTGTACACATGCCCAAGAGTGGGACATATGCTAGTTCTGTTTTTCATTTTTTAAGGATCTTCCAAACTGATTTCCATAAGAACCTATTGAAGGCTTTAGAGGTCCAGTCTTAAAGGCCTTTGCTTAGGGTTCAAAAGAGACGTTATAATAAGCGGAGGAACTGAAGTCTGAGGGCTGTGGGAAAAAAGTCTTTTTACAATATGCTAATGCTCTCTATCATTCTGCCATCCTGCTGTGTTCTTTACTGTTGTCTATTCTTTCACTGTTTATTCTTTTTTGTGCTGCGAAAGTTTCTAGTTTATATATACTTACAATCAGCAACTCTCTGGCTCTAGTCAGGTGCAAAGCTAGAGTTTTCAGGGTCATAGAAACAGATAAGTTTTACACAAATCAGTAACTCTCATTATGGCTTAGAGTGGGAGTAGTCTAAACTTGCAAGAACTGCTTAAAGGAAAAGGAGGTTATAGTAAGTAAAAATGAGGAGTAAGGCAAGAATCATCTTTTTCTCAGAGTGCTGCTTTTTCTCCAGTGGGTGGAGGGAGTGTCAGACAGCCAGGTAACATGTAAACAAACAGGGGCAGCATGTGGTATTTGGTTCCTGTTGGTACTTCTGCCAGAAGTTAGTTGGCTGAAAGGAGCCTTTTGGCTCTAAGGATTACACCCTATGCTATCTCTCAGGGCAATCTTGCTATAATAGACCAAGGTAAAAATAAGTCTTAAGAGTTAAGGATTTGCTTTAAGGTGAATGTAAGGTTAGTATGGGATAGCACTTCTCTGTTTGCTGGCAGAGTGAAGCCAGGATACCCTTGTTCTCTATCTCTCTGAGAGCTATGTTCAACAACTTCAAACATGCCATAATTCTTGTCCTTGGGCATCTGTGAATGTCTCAATTGAGGTCTCTTTGCCTGGACTCTAACACTCACCAGCTGTCTACCCAGGGAGATAATTGTAGGAGGACAGACTTCTAAGTTTCTACAAAGACCTGGTTGAGAGACTGTGATTACTTTCTTGCCAGAATCACACATTGCTGGG